TGCCTTTATTAAGTACGCGACTTTTTTAATGTTTTAACGTTATTTTTACTTTATGTTGCGAGTAAATTTTCATTAAAACAAAAAAATAATAACATTGCCTTGGACGCCGGCGGTAATTAAAGAATACTAATTAAAAAACTCGCTCAGGGGTCGAAAAGAAACTCTTAATTTAACGCTAGCGAACAAATGAAATTTTAATTAATATTTACGTTTCTTTCGACTTTACATCTTGACTTTTATTAAACAATATTGAATTAATGCAAAATTATAAATTAAAAATGAATCGAAATAATTTTTGGGTCTCTAACATTCCTTATCGTTTCAATTTCTTTATTAATCCTACTTAATTAATAACTCATTTATGTAATTGATGAACGCGAACGGCTCTTACTTTTTTTCTTTTGTTTAGGGAACGAGAAAAGTGTACGTTTCCGCACTTAAGCAATTAAATTAATTATTGGGGATGATGGTCGTTATTACCAGCTACACGGATGGGGCCCATTAAACACCGAGATAATTAATCGAGACAATATCTGCACAGACAGACGAACATATTTTGCGACCACCAAAACGTAACACTTAAATCAATTAATAAAATAATCGTTTATTAACAATTTAAACGAATTTTCAAATTCTTAACCTAAAAACGTCAAACGAAATGAGGGATTTCAAATGTTACCAACTTAAATGAATTTTAATAAAAAAAACTTTCAGAAATTGTCATCAATATAAGAAATTAAATCGAAAATAAGATTGATTTATACTCGTATTATAATTTTGTAAAGGGAAAAGGCGAATGTGCAAATCATTTGATGACCGACGAAGAACGGTCGGCGTCTTTGTGTAATAACGACGTCCAACAACGATAGGAGGTCGTCGGCGGCCGCCCCTACATCAAAGCACCAGAAGGAATCGCTGCTGTTTCGCTTCAATCAAATCCCTGGTACGCTTTGGTACCCTTTCATTCCTTTACTTCAATTGATGGTATCTGAAAAAAATTATTTGTGATTTCAAAAAATAAATTTGAGGTTATAAAGCTCCATAAACGTCAAATTGTTCTAACATAACCTTAAATTTTTTAAAATCAATTTTTAACCGAAATTATCCAATATATGAATTTATTGTTTGTAGAAAGCAAAAAAACGTGCGATGAAACGAAAACACCGGTTCAATGAAGAGTAAAAAAAAAATAAAAGAAGGGAACTGCTATAAAAGGTGGTATACATACGGTGGCGGTGGCCCCATTGATTCGGACCACATCGCCGTGCCCCTTCATTAGGGGAGTCTGGAGACCGCCCGTGCGGACCTCCAAACAAGTCGTCATCGAGTCTTCGCGGCGAGACTTCGCCCTCTATTGTCAAACGGGGGCCACCCGCGGATGACAAAACGGACCCGCCGCTGCGAAATATGCGGCGCCCCCCATGCCAAAAATTATTTGCCGTGAAATCCTAACGGCGGAAAAGAACAAGAGCCAAAGAGGGCTAAGTACCACAAACTCTTGACGGATGAAAAACTGCTTTTAGCGACTCGTGCTGTTTATTCCATTTTTCTTTCTCAAGTACTATACGGACTTATTTTTAGTGCAACGATTGATGAAGATCCAAAATTTTAAAATCAAAATGATTTATTGAGTAATGTTTTAAAAATTATTTTCATTACACCACCAGGAGGTCGATTTCATATAATAATAAAATTTTGTAACACACCAGGGTGTTGTTCAGGTGTGTTATAAATCAGTAGCGTTGTAGATAGGGGGTCGACGCGACAACGCCCCCACTTCATGTTGATATTGCATCGCGGATTAACGGACACCCCGCGTTTCGCGAGGGTACTTTATTAAATTCCCGATCGCAAAGACGAGGCATCTTGTTTTGAAAGCGCCTTTGAGACCTGGGGCTTCAAAATTCCACCAAAACGTCGACGCCACCACCGTGGGGTACCCCACCGTTCTTATTGTTGTAGGTGTTTCAAAGGGATGTTTGTGCTTACAGAACTAAAATAACTCCATGCATAAGAAATGTGTATGAGATAGAAATGTAAAATGCTTTTTAAAATCACACTATAAAAAATTACTTTTAACTTAACCTAATTTTATTTTAAAAAGTTATAGTTATGGCATGGCACTAATTTTTGACATATTTCATAACCTAAGAAAAAATGGACATCAACATCAAAATGTTCGATTCTGCAAGCTCTTTTCTGAACAGATTTCTTCAATGCTTTCGATGATATCATTCAAAATTTTTCTCTTTGTTTGGGAACGGATGACGACATATCACCACAAAAAATTCATGATCATGGAATACATCCACAACAATACACTGGATGTATCCCACTAACTTTAAATCGTTCGTGATGTTTGCAGGAATAAAAGCATTGAAGTAGTATTTGCCCACTAGTTTAGCAACATCAAGTATTGTTATTGATCGCTCAGCATTCCTTGGTGGAGCCATAAAATCCTTTGAAATTTATATGATTATCGAAATTTTGAAGCAACAACAAGTCGGAGTTAATGGCAGCTTCCTTGATTCTATGAAAACGTTTAAGTATCACTAAAATGTTGCTCAAAATTGGTTACAGAAGAATTTTGATTGATTGATTCAGTTTTCTGCCCAGTGTAGTTTTAGATTGATTCGTAAAGTTTAATAACTGTTAAATATAATACTAGATTTCTTCTAAAAATTTGGAAAGTGCAAGATGGCCCCTCTCTTTTCTTCTCATGATGTTGGAATTCGTTTATTATTGTATTTTGCAAAATCACAAGCAAACTTTTTAAATTTGTTTGGGATTATTGTTTTTAATAATTTTCACTTCTAATTTTTTTTTGTAATTTCCAGCACCTCCACCATTATTATTATTATTGCTGCCGGGCTGAGGAGGGCGGCCCCTCTCGTTACCGCGACCTATAAGATCTATTGTAACTTTAGCCCTCCAAAGGTTTAGGGCAAATGTAGGTCCTTAATGAACCTTAGTATTGTCCTGAGGTCTTGAACCTTTATGTCGGTAGGTAACAGGGGAGTCTTAGTGCCTTAGACGTCCTCTGGCGACGCAATTGCACAGTATATGTTCAGCAGTTTTTGACTCGTCGTTGCATAGTCGACAAGTTTGATCCTCAGCTTGTCCAATGTGGAAGAGGTGGTATTTTAGGGGCACATGGCCGGTTAGGTAGCCTGAGAGCGTTCTTAGATCCCCTTTGCTGAGGCATAAAACCTCTTTGGTTTTGTTTTGCGACGGAGTTATCATACTCTTCGCTTGTCTGTGACCTGGAAGTTCTTTCCAGCGTAAGGCTATCTTTGAAGCCTCCCAGTTGTTGATTATTTGTTTTAGGTGGCTTTTTTGTAGTCCACATCCAGGTTGGGGTCCAAAGAAGGGCGTGTTTGCTGCCTCTTTGGCCAGCTTGTCGGCCTTCTCATTGCCCTCAATGTTGCTGTGACCTGGAACCCACCATAGGGTAACATCATTGCCCCTAGCGAGTTCTCTCAGGTTGTTGGTGCACTCTCTGATCAGTGCGGAGCCACACGTGTAGGCCTGAATTGCCTTTAAGGCTGTCTGTGAAAATGTTTATGTATGCACCTTTTTGTCCCTTCTGTAGGTTCAAAGCGGTGCAGAAGTTTATAGCAAGAACTTCTGCTTGGAAAATTGTTAAGTCCGAGCTGAGGGGCAATTTGATGTGGCTATTTGGTCCACTGATGCCCATGCCTACTCCAGATCTTACTGTCTTTGAAGCATCGGTGTACCAGGCTAGGGCTCCTCTTTTTAGTTGAGCCCAATCATCCCTGCTACTAAATATGACCTTATACGGTTGGTTGAAATTGTATTCCGTCGGTATAAGGTCCGTTTTAATTTCAATCAGGTGATTTAGACATGGGTCTTTGAGGATCTCGAGGTGTCCTCTGAGGTTACCCTGCATCAATTTGAGTGAAGAAACTGTTCAGTGATAAGGCACTTAAGGCTGCCTCCTTTTGTATGTATATGTGGAGCGGTGTGAGACCGAGTAGGGCTTCCAAAGCAGCCGTCGGACAGGATCTCATTGCACCCGTTATGTTAAGACATGCTAACCGCTGGATTTGTGCCAGCTGTTGTTGAGCTGTCTTATGTTTTGTTTTTGGGCACCAAACCAATGAGGCGTAGGCGACCATGGGTCTGATTATTGCTACGTAGGCCCAATGAGCCATTCGTGGTTTGAGACAGCACTGTTTGAGACGGCAGATCTGGTTTGCCATGATGGCCTTTTTCCTCACCTTATCTAAGTGTGAGTTCCAGTTTAGTTTACTGTCAAGTATTACCCTTAGGTATTTAGTTTCTGTTTTGAGGTTAATAGTTTTGCTTTCAATGGAGGGTGCTTTTATTTGTAGCACCTCCACCATAATGACACCAAATATTCACTCAAATTTTCAAATTAATCTCTTTAAAATCACTGAAATTTAAACGTTTTCATCAAGCGTAATACAATAAACTTGTAGTTGTGGTTCTACAGTGATTTTGGAAATGAAAATTAAACGTTCCAGCTTGCATCGTTTCGTTCAATAATCATTATACCAATTAAGCGCGAGTTGATTGCGTTTTAATGGTCCCCCCATTTCGGGGAAACGGATGTAAAACAATCAAGTTATTCGCTCCCCGATTAATCGTTCAGTTGCGGGGTCATTATTACATCATGTCGAATTATTCGACGGGCCATTCATTAAAACCGCCTCCGCTCAATTAACCCAAATGAGTATTTCAAATCAAAACAAACCTCGCCTAAAAATAACATAATTACTTTTTCTTTAAGAAAAAATAACGCTGTTAGTTAAGTTTCAGAGGCGTAACTAAAAATTATGAAACTCATAAAGTGTAGAATCGTGTAAGTTGGTTTATAAAATTAATTTATAAACCCGTTGTAAGTTAATTAAAAATATTCTGTGTAAAAGAAAAGGTTTTTGTGAAATAAATAATAGAAAAGTAAATATTGAACGTCTACGCCACTGAACTTGGCATTTAAAAAGAAAAAAAACTTGATGGGTAAATAAATAGGTGTCCCTGAACGAAGGGTTTTTAAATGGTGTGATAACGTTGCTGAAAACGGTATATGAGTCCTCGATAATACTAACGTGAATAAACACGTTCTAAAACACGTTCACGTTTTAGATGTTGAGCTAAGATTAACGGGAAACTCAGTTTGTACACGCGAAGAATTCTCTTTTTGTTATTAAAAGATCTGCTATCTTTGAGTACTTAAACAAAAAAAAATCGAGAAGAAGTTAGTTGTTGTTTTAATTTTCTGAAAACTATGCCAGAAATATTAACCGAAAAAGATTTACCAACGAAAAGCGATTACATTAAAAGAGTTAAAATAAATTCTCCCTGGATGTATTATAATAAAGAAAAAGAAAATAATAAAAAATTTAAAAACAGAAAGCAATTAACTGTTATAACAACGAATTTAAATCGGCCAATTTTTACGATTAATAAAAATGATCGATTCTATGGTTTCGAAAATAAAGAAAATATCGATACTGAGAAAAAAATAAAAAAGAAAAACCCAATAAGAAAATTAATTTTTAATAATTTAGACAATTATTTCGACAAAAGTACTTTGCATGGATTAAGATACGTCGGAGATAACACTTTAACTTTGGGCGAAAGAATTTTTTGGTTACTCTCGTTTTTAACGGCAATCGCATTCGCAGCTTATTTCATCAACATTATTTACGCTAAATTTAATAACAGCCCGGTTATTATTAGTTTTAGCCCGACGGTTGTTAGTGTTAGTGAAATACCTTTTCCGGCGATTACAATTTGCAGCGTTAATGTTGTTAAAAAGAAAGAAGGAGAACGAATTTTAAAATCAGGGTAAAATTTTGAGTTAATATTGGGCTCATTTTAATAACCTTTATTTAGAACTGACACTGAAAGAATACTTCTCGACGATTATTGCCACACAAATTACACAGCTGGAAAAACATCGGAAGATATTGATGATGTTGGTGATTGGGAAACGTTAAAATCTTTTATTTTAAATGTAATTTTTAAAAATGTCCAAAAAAAATATTTTTACAATTCGTTTTAGGTGACTCAATCTTGCCCAGAAATGTTAAAGATGTGTGAATGGAAACAAAAAGAAAAGAACTGTAACGATATTTTTAATGCAATTTTGACAGATGATGGATATTGTTGCACTTTTAATAGGTTACCATTAAGTTATATATTTAGAAATCTGTGAGAACTTTTTTCTTTATGTTATTTATTATGATTATTGGAAAATGATTTTTTTAGTGATGTATTTTTTGCATGACTAACAAAGTATTCTTTTTTATCTTTAAATCCTCATTGAAATTAAAACGGACCTTATACCGACAGAATACAATTTCGACTAGGAGGGGATGAATAGCGTATGGAGAGGGGGGGGATTCCGGAGGGATGGAAAGTGGGGGTAATTTGCCCAGTATATAAAAAGGGTAATAAGGGAAGGGTAGAAAGCTACAGAGGAATTAACCTACTAGACTCGGCATACAAGGTATACACGAAGATACTGCTGGGAAGACTGGAGGAGGAGATGGAGTTGGGGGGAATTTTGCCGGATGGGCAGGCAGGCTTTCGGAAGGGAAGGGGAGCAATCGACAACGTGTACGTGTTGAAGCATCTGGCAGATAGAGAGCTGGATAAGAAGGGAGGGAAATTGTACGCCCTGTTTATAGATTTGAAGGCGGCTTTTGATAAGGTGGATAGGGGAAAGTTGTGGGAGGAGATGGGGAGGAGGGGGATCACGGAACACCTAATTGCGAGAGTGAAGGAAATATACATGGAGACTATGGCTAGGATAAAAGTGGGAGATAAGCTGAGCGACGTGTTCTGGACGACGAAGGGACTGAGGCAGGGATGTCCGCTGAGCCCAAGTCTGTTTGCACTGTATACGGCGGACCTGGAGGATAGATTGGGGAAGGGGCAAATGGGAGGGTTGGTGGTGGGAGGTAGAAAGGTGCATATGTTAGCATACGCGGATGACATCGTGGTCATGGCGAGAGAAGCGGCGGAGATGAAAGATATGATAAAGACATTGGAAAGATATTTTAGGGGGAAGGGGCTGGAAGTGAATGTGGGGAAGACAAGGATGATGAAGTTTTGTAAGGGTGGGAGAAAAAGAACAGAAAACTGGAGATGGGAGGGAAAAGAGATCGAGGAGGTTAGGGAGTATACTTACTTGGGGTATGTGTTCAGGGAGGACAACAGGGAGGGGTCGCATGTGATAGCTATGGCAAAAAAGGCGAATAAGGTGATGGGACAAGTATGGGGTTGGGGGAAGAGAGTCTTTGGAAGGAATGTGGCAGCGAGGAAGATTATGTTTGAAGGTCTGGTTAGCAGTGTGATGATGTATGGAGCAGAGGTATGGGGATGGAGAGAGCAGGCAATGCTGGAGGACGTGCAAGCTAGATACTGGAGATGGGTGCTTGGGGTGGCGAGAGAAACACCGGGGTATATAGTGAGGGAAGAGGTAAAGGTGGATAAGGTCAGAGTGGAGGCGGGCAGGAGAGCAGTGAAATATGAAGAAAGAATAGAAGGGAGGCCAAACTGCGGGATCTTGGGGGAGTGTTGGAGGGAAATTAGAGAGGGAAAGATCAGATATGGGAAAGGAGACAGAGACAACTATTATAGACGAGCGGGCTACTCGGTAACTGAGATAAATAGTAGACGAAGGGTGGGTAGGGAGATGTGGAGGGAGTTGAGAGATAGGGACCGAGATGTGCAGAGACAGGAAAGAAGGACACAAATAAAAGAGGGGAGGTATAACGAAAGGTACAGGGACATAATTACGGAGGGGCTGCCTAGATACTTGTTATTGGAAGGAGATGAGGAAGGGAAGAAGTTGGTGGCTAGGTTCCGTTGTGGAAACGAGGAGAGAGCTAACAGATACTGGATGGCCGATGAGGAGAGGTGGTGTAGGCTATGCAGGGAGGAATGGGAAACGTTGGAACATATGTTGAATGGGTGCAGTGAGTTGAGGGAGGAGGAGTTGGACCGAGGGCAGATCTTAGAAGAGGGGGGAGAGGGGAAACGATGGATGAGAATGGTTGTGGGGGTGAGGAGACAAAGGGATGGATGAGGGGATGATTGGGCCGAGGAGCCGAGGGTATGGAAATGGAGGAAGAGGGTGGAGGGTGAAAATAATATACTAATGACATATATTATATTAGGATGTATTAAGGGGAAAATTGTAATTATCAAAAACAATAATACAATTTCGACCAGCCGTATAAGGTCATATTTCGAAGCAGGTATGATTGGACGAAGAGTGGTCCTCAACTACACTTGCCTGGTACACGGATGCTTCAAAGACAGTTGGATCCGAAGTAGGCATAGGCATTAGTGGACCAAATTTAATTGCCCCTCAGCTCGGACATAACCATTTGTCAAGCAGAAGTACTTGCTATAAACTTTTACACCTTAATCGTTAGTGTTTAGCCACCGTAATTCCAGGTTCTCTTTGGAGGTTGGATTATTTACAAACTTCTTCTTGGTGTTTGGAAGCTATTCAGAGTAATTTCAGATTTCTATTTGGAATCTCGAACCTGTTTAGTACAATACCAAATTCCTTTTTGGTATCTGAAGATTGTACAATGTAATTTCTGGAATCTGCGCAATGTAATTCTCCTCAAGTATATCCAGGGTAACTCAAGATTTCTTTTTGGATTCTTGCTTATGCTAAGCGCAATTCCTGAATTCTTCTTGTAGTCTAAACACTGTACAATATAATGTCCGGTGTCTTTCTGTAGTCTTGTTTTTGCCCAGTATAATTCTGTATTGGTTTGACTGTTAAGTATAATACCAGATTTCTTCTTGAGATTGAAAATAGCACAATATAATTCCATACTTCACGGAGTCTGGGGTCTGTTCAAAGTAATTCCTTTTTGGAGTCCAATATATGTCCAATACAATTCCAAACTTTTTCTTGGAATTTGAAGTATTTACAGGGTGTCCAAATTTCGATGGGTTTGCAGGGTATCTCAGTTATTATGAAAGATAGAAAGTTGCGGCTTTCGCGAACCTGAACTACTTTTTTGTGAAACTTACAATGGCGCAAACCAAATTTTCATAGCCCTCTTTGTTTTTGATATACAGGGAGTGTTAGAAATTTATGATTTTCAAACACCTCCTGTATCTCGGCTATCCGGAAACTTAGTAAAAAAGTAAAAACGGGTTCTAATAGATTTTTTCATGTGGAATCCAACGGTGCACGTAGAATTTTTCTAGTCACTACGGTTTTTGAGTTATAAACACAACTCAAATACTGAATACTCAACTTCTAAAATACTTAACTCTTTATAACTCAAAAACCGTGACGACTAGAAAAATTCTACGTGCACCATTGGATTCTACGTGAAAAAATGTATTAGAACCCGTTGTAAGTTTCACAAAAAAGTAGCTCAGGTTCACGAAAGCCGCAAATTTCTATCTTTCATAATAACTAAGATACCCTGCAAACCCATCGAAATTTGGACACCCTGTACAGTCTGGAAACTAATTTGACACTATGATAAAGTTGATGCAATGTGATTTCTGCCCTATACTTTAAATGTCATAGTGAAGAAATGTATGGGTAAACGGCTAACCTTGTGGGCGACTGTAATGATAGGATACATTGTCTTAGGGATATGATGCGATCATAATCAATCGAGGCTATGGCAACCTGAATTTGTGATGGTATATTTGCTTGAACTGTGTTCACTACGAATCATCTGGTGTCAGGTCATTTGCTACTAACACATAAAATTAGATCATAGCTAGCTAGATCAACATGGGTCATAGCTAGAGTGTGACAAAACAGTAAGTGAGATATGCGCAGGAAAAACGTCTTGGGATGAAGCAGAGCTGTGGGGAGCATATGGTAAATTGCTGGAGAAAGAACCAGAACGGCTGGAGATATACCACGACAAAAAAGTTTTAGCTCAATTTAAAATTAGTTTATGTCACTACGAAAACTTAGATCAGGTTGAGACATTGTTTATAAAGTTGCAATGAGACATACTCGCATTGAGAATAAGGTTGGGATGAGTTCTTTTGGATTAATTAGGTTAAAGATGGTGTAATTAAAGATGAAATTTTTTTTCCAATAATCACAAATTAAATCAAATAACAAAAAATAATTTCTATTTGTTTTGTAGTAAAGAATTAAATGATCTTAATGAAACCTATCCAAAATATGTTCATGATTGGACACCTGAGAAAGGATATAATTCATCGGTGTCATTAGAAGCACTTCCTTTACGATCAGCTGGTACTTTTACTTTTTAGATTAATTAATTTTTAAATAATATTTTTTGTTCTGTTTTTAGGAGCAGGAGCACATCTTGGTTTAACTGTAATTTTAGACGCACAAGTCGACAGTTACTATTGTACAACAACAAGCAGCATCGGTTTTAAAGTTTTATTATCAAACCCGATTGAAACGCCAAAAATGGCCGATTTTGGATTCTTTGTTCGTCCGGGAATCGAAGCTAGAATCGTTGTTAAACCGAGAAAAGTCGATTCAACGGCTACGTTACAAAGCATCGATATCGTGAAGAGGCAATGTTTTTTTCCGCGTGAACGATATTTACAACTTTATCGTACCTACACCGAAAGAAATTGCAAATCGGAGTGTCAAGCGAATAAAACTTTGGGACTTTGTAATTGTGTACCATATTTTTTACCAAGTCAATTAGATTAATGGTTTTTATGGGATTTTTTATTAATTTTGTGGTTTTTAGAAAATCGAACGGCGAGAATTTGTGGGAAGAAACACGAAGTTTGTGTGCAAAAAGTTAAAGCACAACTGGAGAAGCCATCGTTAACACCGGAGTAGTACTTAAAGATTCGTTAATTTTTTTGGATTAATAATTTTTGTTTTAGATGTAATTGTTTACCTTCATGTTTTGAACTTTCTTACGAAAAATCGAACTCTTACAATACGATTTCTGTAAAAGCTAAACTACGAGATGATGTATTAAAATCGGATTCTTTAGAATATTTCTCGTAAATGAAATTATTTTTTTTTATTTTAATTGTTAAAATATATTTATTTTTATGTTTTAGAGAAAATGTCGCAATTGTTCATTTTTATTATAACGAAAACAGCTTTAACAAGCGCATTAAAAGTGAAATATACGGATTTTCGGAGTTTTTATGTGAGTACAAAAAGAAAATTGGACTTTGATTTTAAAATTGTGCTTTTTTTAGCGAATACAGGTGGTTTGCTTGGTTTATTTTTGGGATTTAGCTTCTTAAGCGCAGTTGAAATCGGATATTACATTGTTATAAAAACTTTGGTTAAGTTATTTAAACGACATCAAAATAAAAATAAGATTAAAAATGTTGTACAAAGCGATGACAAGGATACTATTTATCCTTTTCTTAAATAAAATCGTTGTATTTGTGGAATTTCTAGTTTTAGGTGATGTTATTGAACTGTTGTTAAATAAGTAATTAGTTTAATTAGATTAAGTAAATAAATAAAAATAGCCTCAAATTCTCTTTGTCAAAACATTGTCACTCAAAAAAAAATGTTAAGATCCTCAAAAATCATTTATTCAAACTCACATTTCAAAAAAAAAATTAATTTTACACCATTATCATCACAACGTAATTATCATAATCATCAACCACCTTTAGGTAACGAAGAAATCCCTCATAAACCTTACGGTGGTCGTCACATTGTAACAATGCTCCCCGGTGGAGGAATCGGCCCCGAATTAATGAATTACGTCGAAGACGTCGTTAAATTTGTAAACGCCCCGATTGATTTCGAAAAATGTGAAATTAAAGACGGCCCCACTTTAGACGAGGATCTAAGAAACGCTATCATATCGATTAAAAGAAACGGAGTTGGAATTAAAGGAACGATCGAGCCGAATTTGAATTCTTTAAATTTTAAAAATTCCAACGTCGAAATCAGGAATAAATTAGATTTGTTCGTTAATTTAACGGTTTGCAAATCTTATCCGGGTATCACGGCGAAATACAAAAATGTTGATGTCGTTGTTGTTCGACAAAACACCGAGGGAGAATACGCAATGTTGGAGCATGAATGTAGAAAGGGTGTTATTGAGAGTTTAAAAATAATTACGCAAAAGAATACGATGCGAGTTGCTAAATTTGCGTTTGATTTTGCAACGAGATTTCGTAGAAGAAAAATTACCGTTGTACATAAAGCGAATATTATGTAAGAAAAAATAATTGGAGAAAAATCTATACAAATTTCTTTTTGCAGGAAACTTTCCGATGGGTTATTTTTAAAAACAGTTAAAGAAGTTAGCAAAAGCTACCCTCACATAAAATGTAACGATATCATCGTTGATGCTACAACTATGAAAATAGTTTCGAATCCCTACGATTTCGATATGCTAATAATGCCAAATTTATATGGAACTATAATAAATAACGTTATTTGTGGCATAACGGGCGGTGCAGGTTTAACTTCCGGTTCAAATTATGGCTCGAAATATGCCATTTTTGAACCAGCTTGTAGAACACTAGGAAAAACTTTGCAAAGTGCTCGACTAACAATCTTTTTATTCAATCTTACTTATTTTAATTTGTAGACAAAAACATAGCAAATCCAGTTGCTATGTTAAACGCCACGGTCAGTTTATTGTACCATTTAAAACGCGATATTTACGCGAGAATTATCTCCGAAGCAATTTATAAGACAATTTGTATAGATAATCAAAGAACGATGGATATTGGAGGTGATTTGCATACAAGTGATATGATAGATTATTTAAAAGAAAATATTAGCTTGTTGTATTGCGAAAAATATGCTGGATATCAAAAATAAATTAACTTAAAAATGTTTAAAATTAACGTACCAATTTTGATTTAAATCTAGAGGACTGCAATTTTCGATATTTTGGACATGTAATTAATCTGGCACTGAAACAATAAGATAATGCATGACGAGATTTCGGTACTTTTATGAGACTCTCGTACAAGAAGCGAGACGAGACGAGAGTAGAGGTTGCGATGAAAATCTCGTCTTGTTGGTAGCATTTAAAACTAGAACTATAATCTGTTTTTTATTTAAATCAATTGTCAAAGTGTCGTCAAGTTGGTATTGAAAGTAAAAGCGCATGTCGTGACTTTTACTTTAATTGTGTGCCACCACTGTCTATCAAATTTGTTAAGATTGATTAAAAAACAATTTTCATATAATTTTTTTGCTGCTAAATCTACCATAAAAATGTTAAGAAAGGGTGGAACGGGATGTCAACTGTCTAAACGCGAAAAAAACTCTATAATTAGGTATTGTGAAGAAGTACAGACGGAGACACCAAATACGAATTTAAAATATATATGTGATAAAGCTTCACGTATTTTTGATGTATGTGTATTGCACTTGAGTTTTAAAATTAAATTTATATTCAACATAATTGTATTAGGTTCACAGCACGACGGTTTTTAAAATTATTCAAACCTACAAAAAATATCAAACTGTAAAAAAACCAAAAACACAAGGGCGTTGTAAAATGAACTACAAAACGGATAATAATTTATATTTTATTAAAGAAGAGTTAGGAAGACAAATACAAAAATTGCATGAAAAGAAACAGTATTTTAATCTTAATGATTTACTTAATTTTGCAAGAAATGAATGTGATTTTACTAATGGTAGATCAAAATTACATAAAATTATAAAATCTATGGGATATAGATATAAAAAGATTAGCAATAGAAAAGTGTTAATTGAACAACCACATATAGTTTCAAAAAGAATTACATTTTTAAAGACATACTTGCAATACCTAGAATCCGGAGAGTATACTTTTGTTTTTCTTGACGAAACTTGGATTTACGAAAATGGCACCCAAGTTTATCAATGGGTAAATGAAAATGAAAGATTCGGTATTCCGCAAAGAGCAGAAGGCGAAGGAAAAAGATTTACAATCTTGCACGCAGGCACTTCGTCAGGGTTTTTGCCAAATTGCGATCTCTTGCTCAGTGACAACACGGAGCACAGAGATTATCATAAAAATATGACGTCAATTATTTTTATGGAATGGGTGAAAAATCAATTACTTCCAGCATTAAATAATTTGGGTGCGAAGTGTGCGGTAGTAATGGATAATGCTCCATATCACTCAAAACAAATCGAGAAAGCTCCAAGTTTCTGCACAAAAAAAAATGATATGAAAAAATGGTTAACTGAACATAATATACAGTTTGAACCAACCTTAAATAAAAAATCGTTATGGGAAATAATCCGTTATTACAAGCCTCAAATTGAAAAATCCTTTGAAATTGACAAATTAATAAGAGACCATGGCCATACTGTTCTTCGCCTTCCTCCATACAATTGCCAATATAATCCCATTGAACTATGTTGGGCGTTCTTAAAAACTTATTACAATAAACATGTTCAGTCCAGCTCGGAGAAAAAGATCTGTCGTGTCAAGGAGACTTGGCAAAAAGCTCTTGGTCATTACACTCCGGAGATGTGGGCAAATAGTGTTCGCCACTGTGAAGAACTAATTAAAAAAGATTGGACAACATTAATGGGAAATTCATTAATAACTGATTTACCTCCTGTCATCATCCAACTAGCGGAAGACTCAGATTCTTCCAGTAATTCTGATTTTTAAACAATATTCAAATTTTAATTATAGCACTTAATTATGTTATCTTAATATATTGCTCACGAGTTTTAATTTCAAAACGTAGATATTAGCCAAGTGACGAGAGATTAGTGGCTTCGTCTTTAAAGTGACAATCAGTGACAACTTCGTTTAGAATATACACAACCTTACTTATTATTTAGTGGAAAATATTATAAAGCGTGGTCATAGAACATGGTATCTAGGGTGGTACAGACCGTTTTTTTATAAAAATTTGGCAATGACAATTGATTTAAATAAAAAACAAATTTTACAACTAGAAACATTCGGGTTTAGCTGACTTAAGAGAAATGAGGCCGAACCCGAATATTTCTAGTTCCAGTGTTAGTTCAATAAAAATATACAACAACATAGCACTGAATCACAATGGGGTCATACACGATTTTTTTTTTATTATATTTTCTGAAAGTTTATATAAAAATATAGTTACCGTTATTTTTTTTTTATATTTTCGAACAAAGTCATTGTTAAAAAAATTATTGAAAATTTATATACCCATTTGCGCTTTTAAAATTCCCGCGTTTATGACGTACGATTCTCACTTTTGCGTCCCCTGCTCCCCGCTCAAATGCGAGAAAGAGATGAACGTCATTTAGGTTGTATTGAAAAGAGATAGAGTGTTTGTAGGTTATGTTTATTATGTTTTGTTCATGGATGTAATAGAGACACTGTATTACATCCATGGTTTTATTTTGACACTGTCACACCGCAAGCGCTATCTAACGGACAATTTAACTTGTTTTAGGCAGTGCGGTTCCTACGTCACAGAAAAGCCGCGAAATTATTTCGTTTGAATATTTGCTATTTTTCACTTCAAATTACGCAAAATATAAAATTGATCAAAATATTTCTTTTACTTTGTGTTCATGCATATACTTGCATATATCGTTTGACATAAAAATTTTCTCTAAATTTAATAAGTGTGTATGACCCCATT